CCCCCCCACCACCCCCCACCACCCCACCACCCCCACCCCCACCCCCACCCCCACCCCCACCACCCCCACCACCACCACCACCACCACCACCACCACCACCACCACCACCACTGCCGCAATGACAACCACTACCACTTCCACAGCCAGCAGCAGCAGCAGCAGAAGCACCGGCACCAGTACCACTGCCAGCACAACGCCGACGACTATCACCAACACCATCGCGGTGACGATGCTGGTGATTGCGACTTGTTTCGTGCTATCATTCTCGTTTTCGTCGTTTCAGCGTCATTGTTCTTTCTAGTGTGATGGCTATTACTTGTGATGCTAGTGACTGGTGTCCTTATTTCTCCTTGCTCACAAGAGCTTCAGATTTCGGGTTTAAGCCCTTCGGGCTCTCCTTGTTGAACCTGTCCGTGTAAGGGAAGGGCTCCTCTGGAATGGGCCTTCCCAGAAAATGGCAAAGTGGTGCCCATCCGTCCTCGGAGTTCGTTTCATGGTCGCAGGTTTAGGGGTCATTTGCTTAGAGCTTGCGGTTTTAAAGCTTGCTTTGCTTCGAAGATTCAGGGTCTTGGGATATGTGGTGCCCGGTCAGGGTTCAGGGGTTTAGGGTTTAGGCGGTGCTTGTTGTTTACTTGTCCAGGTTCCTGGAGGCGATTCACGGCTAGCTTTGACGCGTGTGCAAGCTAGCTTTGACGCGTGTGCAAGGAAGATACTGCTCGAAGAATATCTATGCTTACTTGCTCGCCTAGGTGTTGGGCAGTTTTGCCTCCGGCGCCGAGTAGGGATTTGCAGTCAGGGCTGGTTCTCCGCGATGCTTTTGACTTCGTCTACAAGGCTGCTTAGTAGTTTCAGGCTGGCCAAACATTCGGGGTAAGACTTTCGACATCAAGAACTTCGAGATGTACCATGTATGAGCCCCATTCTGCGACGGCTGCAAAGTTTCCCTGCTCTGTCTTTTCCTCAACTAATCCGCGACCAACGAGTTCTCTGCAGAAGCGACCTGCAAACAGTATGACGGTTGCGTGGAATCTTGAGCACGAAACCCTAAACCTCCGTAAGGCCCTGCCCCCCTTCGCATGGGCAACCGAGGTTCGACACCAGAACACCTCCAGGTTTTAGGGTTTACGGAACCCCTAAAAGCTGAATTCCGAATCCCTGAACCCCGAAACCCTGAACCCCTAAAAGCTACCCTACATTCCTAATCCCCAAACCGCTAAACCCCGAAACCCAAACTCCCTAACCCCCTAACCCCCCAGATCTTCACACAGGGAGTCCGAGAAGTTGAAGATCAGCAGCCGCGACGGAGGCACCTGTGTCCTTGCAAGACGGGCTGTGTTATATGTATATATATATATACACACACATAGGGTGCTTGTCCGAGTTTCGAGTTGAAATCGGATTTTTAACAGGCTTAAGAGCTTCCGTTCTTGTATCAAGGCTTTTCGCTTCCGAATCAAATCCTGCATCCTAAGCCCCACCGACGTCCTAAGCCCCAAGACCGTAAAGCCTACTGTAGGGGTCCAAGTGATTAGAATAGGGTTCTTTATGGTATGGTTATAATAAGGAACCCTGAGGAATAATACTGGTAATTATTTAAGCCTCTATCGTACTTCCCAACCCCCAAAAAGTCCTAAACCCGCAACAAGATCCGACCCGGGCATTGATACTGTTGATGATATAGATCCTGTAGTACCTTACAAGGACCCGAAACTATGGGAATTACGTATATCCCTGTGGGCAATGCAGGATTGAGATCATCAACCGTAGGGGCCATTGGGGTGTCGGGTCCAGAGCTCTGGGGCTGTATTCAGTATGAAGTTGTGTGCTGAGGTGCGTTGGGTTTGCGACGTGTTTTGTCCGGTTACCCGGCCTCGGTGCCTCACGCTTTTGTGAGCTCGGAGGGTGCTGTGGTTAGGCACCTAGCTCGACGAAGATTTCTTGCATATTGCTCAACTTACAGTGATGAGGAAGGACTGTGCTTATAAGTAAGCTGAGAGACGCTCATGTAGGCATTCCGGATTCGGATCCCGACCATCTGGGGCGCTATCTTCGCTACTCGAGATGAAGGCCAGTCAAGAGGCTTCACCCGGTCCATGTGCGCCTGGCGGAGACTGAAATCTGAAACCCGAGATCAACAAACCCAGACCCCAAAATCCGCAGAGAATGCACGTCATTTGAACGCTAAGTTAAAGCTCATAATCGAAAAGCCGGTGCAATCTGTTGACAGCTAAGCTCTGCATTGTAGGGTTTGGGGGCAGCGGGCTGCAAGCAGGGCTTGCGGCTTCGGGTTAAACGAGGGAGAGGGCGATGCTTCGCGGAGCAGCCAGTAGCCAACTAGAGTCGAGCAAGCACTGAACATGCTGAACCGAACCGTTTAAACCTGAATCCAGAACCCCACTACCCTGAGCTCCCAATCCTAAACGTGCAGAGACTTGTTTTCGGGCCTTGATAAGAAGAAAAACCTGTCCTCGGCCCGGAGACCCCAGTAGGACGGCAACCGGTGACTACTTCTTACCATCTGGGATTTATGTAGCTATGCTCCGGGTTCTACGTACGTTCATTGGGGTTAGAACTACTGTTAACGAGAGTCCAGGTCCAGGTATACAGAGACTGCAGGCTTCTTGCCAGCACCAGCCACTGAACCCTAAACCCGAAAACCTAGACAAGAAGCCTGAACACCAAAACCTAACACCTGAACCCCGCACTCGGGCACATCCAAGCAGGCCTGGTAACCATCCTTGCATGTCTGGTTTTGTTCGGCCGGCATACCTGGAAATTCAACACGAAGCAAGTCTCACACCCTAAAAGGCCTACAAGCTTCCAAGAACGCATGGTTGGGCTCAGGCGTTCGGGTTCAGGGTTTAGGGCAACTTTCGGGGCCTCGAGCCCAACAAAGCCAAAGCTTCATCGGATAACTTCTTACCTCGACATCTTCAGGTGTAGGGACCGAATTTGATTGGAACGGGCTTTGGGACTACTTCTCGAGAGCCCTACATTTAGGGTCTGTCCCGGGTCTCTCTGTCCATGGTGCCCTGCTCTTTGTAGAAGGCGCAGTCCCAATATCGGCAGCCCCAGCAGTGATCCAAAGTGAAGTCCGATTTGTACCTGACGTGTCGGAGCCCTAAACCCTAAACCCTAAACCCCTAAACCCCTAAACCCTAAACCCTAAACCCCTAAAGCCTAAACCCTAACCGTGTTGGAGACAATCTTCAAATTTCGCTTCTGAGGCCTTCGGGGCTCGGTCTCATGGGTAGTTGTGAGTGGGGTTATACGGGGTTTAGGGTTTAGGGCTTAGGAAAAGTGGGCGCGGTTATAAGTAGGGTACCTATATTATANNNTATAATATAGGTACCCTACTTATAACAAGTTATAACCCGTATTAGGGGACTTATCACCCAACTTATAACTATGAATGAACCTCCAAGTGATGCTTGGGTGGCGCCTTGGTCTTCAAGGCCAAGATCCTCAGGGTGCTGTCAAGGGTACTAGAAGTTCCCTCAACAAGGGTGCTACGGTTGATGGACAAAATCCTGCATGACCTTATATACCTAAACTATGGGATTTATGGTACTATACTATATTTGGGTCATGCAGAATTTTGTCCATCAACAGTATGAGGGTATGGTAGGGATACTAGGAGGATATTCAACGGGATGGAATGGTACTTCCCAGAAAGCCAGAGACGGTCGAGCCCATATCCTAAACCCTAACTTTGAATCGGAGCTTCTAACCAGCTCAGAACCCTAAACCCTAAACCCTAAATCCTAAACCCTAAAGCTCAAAAGACAAGGAACTGCAGCTCCCAGGCTGCATCCCAAACTTTGTAGCTGAAGTTTGACGAGATGTTCAGCGCGGCCTCTACCACTTCGACCTCCTGCGAAGGATGCATGTAGGGATCTATGGTTCAGGGATTTGGAATTTGGGGTTCAGGGTAGGGTTTAGTTAGGGATTATCTAGGGGTCCATGGTTGAGGTGGCAGCGGGAGTACTGCATAGCTGCTTAGAAGCTTTCCTAATCTTCTGGGCGCATACAGCCTTCTGAACCCCCTGACACTCTTGTAAACCCTGAAACCCCTAGAACAAATCTTACTTGACTAATCTGAATCGGATGCCTTGTGCTCGATGGGGTAGGCCCAATCCTTGAAATAGTTCCTCAGTAAGTTTGCATTTAGGCGATTCTGGCGCAGTGTTTACGCCTCAAAGTTTCGGGGTAAGGTTTTGATTTGCGGGAAGGTCAGCACCTGTTGCTCAGCCGCAAGGCAAAGACGGGTGCAAGTGAGGCCGTTACGCATATGGGTAGTTCTCTAAATTAGGATCGCTTTTGGGGTCCCCAAAAGAATACGGCACCCTTATTATCAGGAGCCTAAAGGACCCTAATTTAGAGAACTACTTTAGGGTTTAGGGTTAGGGTTTAGGGTTTAGCGTTTAGGGTTTAGGGTAGGTAGCTGTAGTCGGCAATTGCTGGGCAAAGCTGCGACAAAACGGCACGGCGACTTGTCTTCCCAGACACAGCCGGAGGGTTTGAGTCTCAGGACCCTGAATCCCAAAGCCCTGACCTTGATTTAGGAATAAGATAGGGGCCTTAATAATCAGAATAGGATTTTCGGGGTTCCTTATTATGACTATAGTATAAAATACCCCAAACCCCATTCTACTTATTAAGGCCCCTACATTAGTAGTTCCTGAGCCTCCGTTTTGTTACCCCTAAGCCCTAAAAGGTTCCAGGGTTCCGCATCTCCCCAAGAGCTGCCCCATTCACAGGTAGGAGCTTCGGAGCAACAGTCAAAAGCAGCCGGCCGTTTAGAGTCGAAAGCTTGTGTTTTTTTGGCTTCGTAGTGGTTTTTCATAGTGCCTGGGGGGTCGTATGCGGGTTTCGGGCTGCTTGGATGGTTTTAGGAAAAGTCGGAAACCGTTTCAGCCGAAACTGCCGAGAGCACTTCCGAAGCGCATTGCAAAGAAACTTACGAGATCCGCATTCAGGCAATATAGGGGGCCTCATACAGCTGGTAAGCATGCTAACTATACTAACACACGGACTATAAGTAAGGAACTGTCATTACTAAAATATTCGGACCTCCTTTAAGGAACTGTCATTGCTAAATACTCGGACCTCTTTCTAAGACTCCGAGAGTCCGTTCTGAGACGTACCAGTCTTCCACGTCCATTACAGGCAGAATGACCTGACAGGATGGCACAATGGCTGCTTCATTGGCCCCCCTACACCCTATATATAGGTTTAGGGTTTAGGNNTAGGGAAACCCTAAACCAGGGATCATGCGTTCTACGCTTCTGAAACTGAACAAATCGACCGTCCCTTAACTCCTAAGCTCGTAGAAGCCGTAAACCCCAAAACGTGTTCAGGGTTGAGGGCGTTCCAAGGATGCCGGCCCGCGGAGCGACTTGAGTCTGGGGTGTGGGTTTACAGTTGGGGGGGCTTAGGGCTCTTTGTCTTAAAAGACTGCAAGGACCCTTTAGGGTGGAGGGTTTACGATCTTAAGTTTTAGGCTTCAGGGTTTAGGGTTCAGGGTTTAGGGTTTTAGGGGTTTAGGGGTTTAGGGTTCAGGGTTTTAGAGTTTAGCGGTAGTGTTGTGTAATTACTTTTTGCTCCACTGCTTCACACCCGATCCCGA